TATTACTATCATTTCATTATTGCTTATATTATCGCTATCTCTTTTTATTATATATTTTATTCTTCTTTCTTCCAACAGCTCCATTACGGATTGGGCTGGAGCCGTAGGATGCAAGGTCATCTCCAAGCTGCTCGATCTGACGCTATCGCTAAAATACTAGAAACTATTCCTTTTTCCATCGTCCAACTCCATATATCGCTGGTTCCGTTATGAGTTCAAAATCTGTCCAGATTGTAGCGATCCAGGAGTTGGTCCTGCGCCTTTTAGGCGTCACCTATCAGAGTGCAAATGACGAAATGTGCATCGACTCCTATGGTGGAAAACATGCCCTAACCAGCGAGCGCGACGTTCTTTGATGGTATTTGAACGAAGGTGGATGCGATCATGTGATCAGCTTTTATCAATCGGCGAACTCGTAAAGTATATCTTAGATATGAATGGTCAAAGCCCGATAACTTTTAAATATCCTCCACTCTCATTGGACATGTCTCGCGGCCAGATAGCAAGATCGAACGTATTGCCGCTACATAAACATAGGCTTTAGTATTTATGGTAATTTCGCGATAGGTCCATAAACGATTTCGTTAACCTGAAGGACGCATTTCTAACTATCGTCATCCAAGTTGTAATTTCGTCTTTTGCATTTCTGACCATTCGCTATAAGAGTGGATCCATGGTATTTAAAATCAGGCATTTCCTCAACCAGGCAATAGATATATATAACATATATAAAGAGGCATTTTACCAGTTTCTTGTACATACGATGAAAAGATTTTCGTTTTATTTACATTGTCCCTGAGTACAATTCTCGTTGCAGTTGTTGTCATTTTATTTAACACTGCTTGCATTTCATCATAACAGTATAAATGTCAGTAAAAAGGAGTACATCAACATATTCAAAGTCTCTAAGTCTCACTAAGACACATCTATAAACCCCTTGAATGCCCACAAGCGATATCCATTATCCAGTTTATCGTATAGGTAAATATTGAATATTGTTAGTAAAATGACACAGCATTGGCGGATACCAGCTTTTATTTCAGAGTTTCCCAGTTCCTCAGTGTCAATGTAGCGTGAAAATTTGGGCAGCATAACCCGCGTTCCGGTCTGAATCCAGCTTGGTTATTCTGATGTCTCGTTTTGCCATAAGTCTATTCAGTACAAAGGTAACGAAAACTTTTGCTGAAACGTCTAGGCTGATTCCTCGGTAATTGTCACAATACGTCCTGTCATCTTTCTTAGGAATTGGAAGCAGAATGGCTTTGCATCTGGAGCTATTTCTTTTCGGCTACACAGCAGAATAAATTTGCAGAGAGTCAATTTGTTGAAGATATGATAAGAAGGACGATGAACGAAGAAATGAACGAAGAATTCGAAGAATTCATCCCTGAGACCATGTTTCTACGGGAGTTTTATTGGTCTTAAATTTATAGTTAACAGAGATTATTTCCTCTTCTCTTGGCTTTGCAGTTGCAAATATATGGCTCGAAGAACGAATCAGCTATATCTGGGAAGCAAATGTGGTCTTATGAATAGCTTGGTCTCAAAAAATTCCTTCTATCTTATGAGGCGGTCCACAACATCCACAACACTCTTAACGATCGCATTAATGCTCTTATACTAAAGAGGATATGTTCATATATTGCTATGTTATTGCTATGCGATTAATTGCATAATAACTTGTCGGCGCTCAAGATATAAATAAAACAGATGAGTTATGAAAAATGGACAACATTTAAAGATTTAAAGATTTTAGCCCGTTGGCCCAGTTTGTGGTTGTAAGCTTTTCTTGTCATGCTGTTGCTTTGCAGTAACAGAAATATGGCTTAATGAGCATATATTGGTGCAGACAGTGCATCGTGCTTAATTTTGGCCACAAAGAATTTCTTATAAGACGGAGACGGTCCTCCTAGCCTTAACAGCCACGTTCCATCTCATTCCATTTCATTGGCTGTTCTCCTAGTTATGCTTTATGATGGAGATGGAATACTTTTCTATTATTCTCTTATTGTCTAATCGAGTTGCCATCTCTATTCTCAAGAACATATCACTCCAACAGTGATTTCTATCCCGCTATGCTGATGTCGTTGTAATTCTTCTAAGAAACCGATAGCCATTATCTCACTTCTCATTTTGGCAACTTTCTCGTGCAGTTGGACTGTTGCTTCTGGTATCCAACTCATCTCGGGGTCAGGTTTAATAATTACTTGAGAGCCGAGAGGAAGATAAACAAGCTATATCTACGCGGTATTCAGAGAAAGTGATTATTTGATTTGCAATATCCATAAGCGTTCTGATTTTCCAAGCAGCTATGGCCAACAGCTCTTCGTACAAAGTGTTAGCTCTCTCGTTTCCTTCGAAAGGTTTTGAGGTTCTGAGCCTTGAGTATTTAGACTCGCAAGTACATATATCCTATCCTAAAGCCTTGAGATTTTACTACACTCAGATGGTACCACCGTGCTGAAAATATTATACGCGTCGGATACCGTGTCAAAGAGACCTGAACCTTTCACCATAGAGTCACTGGTCCGAAGCAGCCATCCGGATTCTTGATACCATTATTCCTGCCAAAAAAAGAAATTATCAATTAAAAGTTTAGGAAATATAAGAAAAGTGAAAGCTTTTGCAAGAAAAAGAAAAAAAAAACTGACATCGATTAATATGAGCATCTTTTCCGCACGACTGCTCACAGATCCAATATCGCTTATATGAAGGTTCCATGACAGAACAAAATCTTAAACCCTCTGTCAAAGACAAAAACAAATATTTTATTATTTTATTAATAAATGATAGAACTGCGTATAGCTGTTCTTTAATTGGCACTATTATCATTACGAATTTTATTATTTTATACTTATTTACATTATTTCGGTTATTTCTGTCGTTATTATTTTATTTATAATGTAATAATATTTTATATAATAATATTTTATTTTATTATTATTATTATTATTATTATTATTAATTATTATTATTATTACTCTTGCTACTGGAATTATTAGATCATTAAATTATCTTGGCGAAGCAGAACCACTTTTATTTCTCTTTAATTCCAAATGGAAAAAAATATTATTCATTTGTTTTTTTAAGTCCGAAAGATAATTTCTGAATGCTCATTAATTAATTCTGAAAAATTTGGTCGTCTTTAAAGGTTTTTTTTTGAAATTATTTGATTAATTTGCCTTCGATTATCGATTAATATAGCATAGCATAATAATATAAGAATTTAAATAAAAAATTAAACGAAAATAATGATAATATAAAAAATATAATAATATAAAATTTTTCTTTATTTGGATAAAATTTCCTTATATCTTGATACTAGCTGTGCGAAATTAACACGTAAATGATAATTCTTAACAATTATATCGATAAGGCATAATATCTCGATAAGATCGATGATTAATTTTGTTAAAAGAGTGCTTATTATCATTTTTTTCATGCAAAAAGTTCAAAAATTCTTTAAAAAAATGGTATAAATTGTTTCGCAAGTGACACTCGCAAAAAGTGGTTTATATGAATTATAATTTCTTTAGATATTCCATTCGGCAAATTCAGGTTTATGGAGTTAGAAAATTTGACAAATTTTAACAAATTTTTAACAATCTCTTTGAATTCGAATGTAGCTCGGTGAATTCGCATTAAATTTTTTCACTGTATTTATACTTTAATAAAATCAAATTTCATCTTATACTTGAAATATTACTTAAATACTTGCAAAGAAAATTCATGATGAAAGTAAAATTATTAGTTGCCATCATTTGTGATTAATCGCTCTGTTAGCTATTTGTCGTAAATTTTTGCAATATTCAATAAATCACTTTGGGATTGAAACACAAACAGACACCACATTAGACACCAATTGATTCTTTGATAAGCACTTACAAAGGCAGAAGCCGAACGATGGTAATCAGACAATAACATAAGGCAATTCGACCATGCTATTCCAATTAATGAAAAATGGGATTCATCAGTAACAGAATTTTTGCATTAATTTGCAAGAAAATGAATATTGACAATTGGAAGAATCGGCCAGAGGATGTAGAGAAATTATTGTGGCCTATTTGTTGTTTTTACGTAAGCGCATGACCTTATACCTTGGTTGTTATTCGATAAAACAAATAAATAAATCGATCCACAAGAATACTATTCAGAATACTATATGGTTCATTTTTTGAATCAATTTTTTTCAGAGATATGTGGTCAAATAATGATTGTATGATACATTTAATTTAAGGCTCAGTCGATCTTGTAAGTAATAATATTAGGAAATCAATCTATTTTCAAGTATAAGTAAATTTAAGAGCATTATTAAATTGAAGAAAAGCCTATCTTGAATTCGCGGTTTGTACATCTACGATATTCGAATTAAATAAAAAACGTTATTTTTATAAAATTAATCAAATTATAATCGTTGTTTCTAATGGATTTCTAATGATTTTTAAGCTATCACCTTTGGCGTAAAATTTGTTCTCTGAATTTTTTCACCATAGTTACTATTTGCCTATGCTGAATGATTGATTTTTCAGCAGCCCGATGGTGAATATTGCTAAAATAATTATGCTGTAAAAGAAATCTTATCTACTGAAGTAGAAGGAAAAATATTAATTATAAAAATAATGCTATAATAATTTATATTTCAGTAAATGACTGTAATTGAATAAATAAAATAGCTAAGTGAGGACAGGAAGAAAGAAATATTTTTCAACAGTAAATAACAGTAAGTATTACTGGTTTGGTTAACTTCATTGATTACTACGGTTCTTCGTTAAAAATTCATTTAAAAAGTTGCTGGTTTATCAGCTCATAAAACATAGTTGTGTAGTCGGCTCATACATATTAATAATCATATCTTGATAATATTTCGAAAGCTTCGTATCAATTCAATAATTAAACAGATTTTCAAAAAGATTTTTTGGCCAAAATTAGAATATTTTTTTACATATGACGGATGAGAGCCTTAAAAAAAAGCGAAATATATCATACGAAATAAGTCTAAATCATTTTTTTTGTTTAGGTGGTCCAGTACATAAGCAAGTTTTCCTACAAAATAAGAACATAGTTGCCCGATGTTTTTCGCATAAGCCTCCACGGGTCCAATCTTTACAAAGTTCTCCTTTCTCGTCATATTCTTTCGAACAATCGAAGACATATGGGTGCCCTAGAATTCATCTTTATTTTTATATGATTTTTTCGAATAATATGAATCCATAATATGAATCCTAGCTCTACACCCCGGCACTTCTTCTAATTGGACTTTTACGAACGAGTATCGAGTCGGGATCCTTCGAAGAAGACTCCAGAAATAGGAACAAAAATCATTCTAGAAATAAATTTCGGCTATGCAATTTAGTATTATGTTAAAACAATGGACGCACAATGAAAAAATTATTCTTGCATCTATGAATAGATGGCAAAAAATAGGTTAAAAATAATTTAATAATTTAAATTTAAACCACACTAACACTGCTTTTTTAATGTATCGGTAATAACTGTCATTGGTGTAGCCCAGAATACTGAAACATTGTTTTTTAATAATTTGCTAAATTGATTCGATGGGCTTTCAAAAAAAATAAATTTTGTGAATACTGATTTACAAAGAACAATTTAGAAAAGAACATACCTTGAGTATTGTTTTTTTCCATTGTATTAGCTGAAAAAACTGAAAATTACTTATAATTGACAGTAGTAGAAAATTAAATGTCTATTTAATCCTTAAAAGAATTAATTGTATTCTAGATGCATGACCAAATTTGATTCCTTAGATTCATCTTAAAGCATCAGGATTCTTGTCTTCAGTAAGAGCGATGTTTTCCTGAAGAAATTGCCAAGTGGCATCCTGACAAAAGGTTCAGACAAAACATACAAGGTTCATACCATACAAACAGCCAATGAGGCCAGCCTAATCAGAAATAATGTACTAATCACTGCTTATTTATTATAATTAATTGTATTGCAAAAATTATTATAGTCTAAAGAAGGAGAAAGATTATGAATTTTTAGTAGGTAAAATAGATAGAAATTTATACCAATTGGGGAAAACCATCAAAAAAGCAAGAATATTCGAAATACTGTTTGAGTGCAATCATATAATGAAATCAGTGGCTTAACAATGGTCTAGGATTGACTGCACGCAAAGGATTTTGATACTCTTCTATTTTTGTAAAAAAGTGGTTTGTTATTGAATTTTATTAAGTTATATTTAGCTAACAAATAAAGTAATTTTGTACCCCTTAAGAATCGCTCGTAAATTCGTGATGTTTGCAATTCATTCAAATATATAAGCTCTTGAGCTCTTTCAAAATTTATTGCGCTTATGGCTTAAAAATATAGTTAAAATTTCCGGAAATTTTATATCAATTTCAAGCAGGAAGTTATGAACAATTTTTTTTTGTTCAACAGCTCGACTTAAATTTGTTTAAATAAGAAAAGGTTAAAAGTTAACGGAACAGGGCAACCAAGTAGAAATAACTGAGACTCAGACTGAGGAACAAAGGTTCCTGTCTAAGATAGCACTAAAACCGCTATTAAAAAATCTGGTCGATCTGCTGTTTACCCATTTATATTTCTATTTCCAGATGATTTCCTGTCAAAAATTTCAAGTCGTGCCGGGTGAACCTAACCACTTAATCATTTTGCTTACAAATACTAAAGAATGAAAGACAGGAGCAAACCTGTTTAAAAATCTTGGTGATGCTGGTGACTCAAATGTGCTTCTATCGCCAAAGGGCTCCTTGGCATAATTGTTTAATGCGTCAAGCCGATGGAGCGAATCTAATCAGTTATGATGAGGGCTCTTTAAAAAAACTTAAGAATGAAAGGAGGAAGAAGAGAATATTAAAAACATTTTTGAACACCCACAGTGCGATAACATTTCCATTAAAAGTATCGAAAACTATACTAAAGAATTAAACAATTAAGAGAGATCGATAGTATGATTCGTAAATGGGAACTTCCTGAAATTGTTGCCCTTGAATATAATCGCTGTGAAAACAATATTCCGTAATCATTTTCTCCATTCATTGTCCGTTAAGAAATATATCATTTCGTAAAGGTGAAATCAGGATAAGATTGCTGGCTCACATGTACTTCTTCCTTATCTCCTCTATTCTATAACTTTCCACTTCCTACCCTGCTGTGCCTCTGTCTTTGCCGTTAAATTGTTGTGGGGCGAAAATATCGAAAATATCTTACTTCGCTCAAGTGATCAATGTAAAGCCAGAAATAGTCAGAGTTCTTAGATGAGAAGTAAGAAATGTGCAAATATTAATTTGCAAAGCGATTCTGCTTCAAATCCCTAAGAAAGGTAACAGGACATATTGCGACAATTGCCGAGGTTACTTGACATCACCGGAAAAATTTTCGTTTCCTTTCTATTAAATAGACTCATGGCAACACGAAATAGCAAAATACATTTTAACCAAGCTAGGTTCAAACAGGGATGCGGTTGTGCTGACCAGATATTTACGTTAAGAAGGATGTTGAAATATCGCTTCAAATTTCAGCAACCCGCTGTCATATTCTTTATCGTTTTTTAGTTGCATCGATTCGCTTGATAGAGCAGCGCTCTGGAAAGTGATGGAATATGACGATGTCCCAGAGATGTCACTTCTTCGAAATAAGAACTGGTGTCTATGAAGGTTGTCCTTTCTCTTACAATATTCAACTATGCGATAGAGTGGATAATGGACACCGCTTTTGGGTACTCAAGAGGTTTAGTACAAATCAGTCCAAAGATAGCATAACAGACCTTAAATACGTAGATGTAGTCCTTTTTGTAATAATGAAATACAAATAATGATAAACAATGTGTCAAAAACTGAAGGGAGAATTGGACTCAGAAACAAAGTGAATAAAATGAAAGTGTTTTCATCGTATATACGAGATGCCGATAAAATTCCTATTTTTACCAATTCGTCATCGGTTGAGGGAGTTTGACTTTAAATACCTTGGATCCACTCTAATGGCCAGGCAAAGGATGAAATTGCAACCCTGATAACGACAGCTAGAAATACGTTTTTCAGGTTGATGAAATCTTTATGGAACAATCTTTATCGTAAAATCACCATAAAGACGATAATCCGGGTCCATATAGCTGCATTTCGCTCGATTTTGTATATGGTCATAGCCTTTTTACGAAACATGGCTAATGAGACTGGAAAATATTAAGCTATGGGCCTTTGACCGCTCGCATGTAAGATACATTTTGCGGATTTGTCCAGAATATGCAGATAAAATCGCACATTGTTTATATATCTTCACTCAAATACCACCTGTATTAGTAATATTATTATAGAATGTCACCTTCGCTAGTAAAGGCACGCTCTCCGTCGCCCACTACAGGAGTTGACGCATGTTTCGCTAAACCCTGTGATGATTGACGTTTAAAACGAGGAGAGCGAATCAAAACCTAGACTGATACCTAGACTATTTTGATTTTGAAGGTATAGTGGGACCAGCGATATATGGACTTAGACTATGGAAAAGTGAATGGCTTTCATTATTACTAGCGATAGCGTTAGAGCAGCTTGGAGACGTCTTACCCTTGTAGCCAGCGGAACTTATCTAACCTGTAATGATGGGAGTAATACCTGTAATAGTTTTTGGAAGAAGAAGAGAAAAACAATAATTCTGATATTGTCAACTGTGAAGTTATTTCGATTCATAGAAAAATTTACCTTCCGTTACAATAATTTCTGTTTCTTTTTTCTCAGTAATGCTTTGTTGATGTGATACCAAAGTATCATTTAGGCTACTATCATTCGCATATGCTTTACTTTCGATATCAAATAAGTTTAGAATTGATTTAGTGACGTTTTCATCTACAAGCTCCGTTTGCAAACTTATTTTAACATCTTGCATTCCGCCTGTACTATTGGTCTGAGGTAATTCGATGATATTTATTGTTATAGATTCTTGATTCTTGATTTTCAGTTTGTTGGTCTGAGGCCAATTCGATATTTTCGCTATAATTTTGTCTTTTGACTGTGTTGATGTAACAACTGCATTAGAATACTTCGATTTCCTCAAATCTTCAGTATAGTTCTGATAAATTTCTGGAAAATCAATGCTTTTCGTTTCGTTAAGCTCCTTTTCAATAAGGTTTGAAGTGATTTGATTATTATTTATTGTCTCTTCTCGACTTTTGCTTTTTTTATTGGTTGCATGTTGTGAAATTGCTTTTTTAACTGAGATTATAAGTGTAGAACTAACCCCATCTGTAGGTGCAGTTGTCCAATTTCCCTCTGCTGGTTTATGAGTCCAAGTTTCTCCGTCAATTTGCGTTAACAAGTCGGCACCAAATGTTTTTTCTTCATTATTTATCGCCTCTGGGAAAATAAGTGCTGCTGAAATATTTTCATTCGCCTTGGGCACCACACTGCCATTAACGATTTCTGGTTTTAATAATTTCTCAGGCCCTAACTCATCGATGTTGTGTTCTTTTGGTAATTCTTCTTCTGTATTCATCAAATTTATTTCAGTTTGATTTTCTTCTCTGCTTACTTCTGGATATGAAGGAATATTTTGAGGGAATATCGTCGACATTGGATTAGCCTCTTTACGTGCATTTTGGATTGTCGCTAATAAAACTGATGATTCCAAAGCTGTATCAATAAGGCTTATTTCATTTAGTCCTTTGTCATCTAGTATATTGTGCAGTGTTATATTGTGCATTATTTTCTCTGGATATTCTAACTGACTTTGATTTATAATACTAGCAGAGCTGGTTATAAGGTCTTCGTATTCTTCTTCCGTTCTTAATCTTGTTTTCGCCTCAGGTTTTTTATGACTTCTTGTATGTGACCGCTCAGTATTAATGCTTGTTTCTGCAATGAAATTGGTTTTAATTTTAGACATAGTTTCCAAATGAGGGACAGTAATCATTGCATGATCCTTTACTGCTTTTTCAGGGTTCACTTCACCATAAATTTTTACTAGCTGACCAAATCCTTCCATATAAGTATCAGATTTTCTTGTGTTACTGTTTGGCGCTTCTTCATTAGACATAGATAATTTAATAATATTCTTAAGTGGCCAGTTTTTTTCAGTTTTATTTTCTGAGCCGTTTCCAGTTGTAATTTGCTTACGCATGAATGCAGAATCATTGCCCACAGTAGCCAGTTCTTCATGAATTTCTAATTGCGAAATATCATCCACTGTAAGATTTCCAGATTCTTTTTTCCAAAACAGCACTATTCCCTAAAAAATTAACATTTTGTAATAGTGCCACTAAATTAATTTTTTAAAATTCTATTTCTGATCAGCTGCATCGCTTTGTCAAGTCAGATAAATTTTGCCAGAGTCGCTTGCTGCTAAAAAGACAGGTTTTCTTGTCAAGAATGGATCTTCAATATCGATGTTACTAATGAGAGCAACATTTCACTAGTGACCACTAAATTCATATGAGAGCAACAACCCACTAGTGACCACTAAATGAAATCTGATAGGAGTGATAAAGATCCTTCATTTTTTATCCAAAGAATTGATTATTCATGGCCTTGCCTTATACTGAGCTCTACCGGATTCAATGGAAAGTTTGAGCAAGAGTCTTTAGAGGAAGATTATATATGTCAGCTATTGATTTTCCTTAAGAAAGAATTTTTTCTAAGAGCTTGTTGTTTTCCATTGCCTGAGATGCCACTCAAAAAACAGAATATGCGTTGTCTAAAAGATTCTTCGAAAGGGGCTTTTTTAAAACTGATTTCAAGCAAGAGTGGTTATGTCCAAAATGAGACATCGAAGAGCAGTTCACTATACGCCATATGGAAAGCAATATTTTCTTTACATGAAATAATTGCCATTGAACATTTAATGAAATTTTGGCAAGATAAAATAAAACCTGTAAATTTCGGTAAGATCGATAAGTGCGATCTAGCAGCGATGAAAATAATAGTTATGAAGCAAATAGGGGGCAAAAAAAAATTCATAAGATTGCCCAAAAAATTCTCCTACGGTTAGCAAAATAACTTGCATTGATGATTCTCTTATGAGAAGCATTGCCCATTATATTTATGGGAAATAAAAAAAATCATATATTATTAGCCTTATTCTGTTTTTCAGAATATACTTCTCTTTAACAACTGCTCTTCCGTTAGAGCTTAGCTCGAATGAGCAACATTAAAATTAGTGTTTACCGGATATTTGCATGCTTTTAAAATTATTTTTTGATGTCGGCGAAAACTTCAACTTTTCAAGCATATTCATGATCAAAAAATTATCTTGAGCTATTGGTCAAAAGAATCTAAGAAAGATACGAGGAAAAATTTGACTAGATAATGTCATCTTCAAGTTGAAGAAAATTTAGTCCAAGATGAAGAAATATAGAATGTTGCATAAATGACACCTTTGCACTTTTTTTTGAAATTTCAATGAATTTTTGAAAAAAGATGGCAAAAATTCACTTCATTTTTTATTTTTTTCCCCTCACTTGGCAATAATCCCAGCTGCTGTGTCTCGAGCGATTCCATCTCTAAAATTTTAAAATCAATAGCTTTAAAATGGATAAATGTTTTCATACCATTTGATTTTTTTCATCTAAAGGCATAAAAATTTTTTTAAAAATCTTGTTGAAATCTTGCTGAAACAAAGCTTTGCACTGAAATCACCTCTTTTATGATGGGATTCAGTATGCATGGAGTCAGGAAGAAGAAAGTAAATGAGAGTTAATACTGCCGAATTTATCATTGATTTTTCTCAGCCTGAAACAATACCAAAGTTTAAGGAAGCAATACCCATTTAGGTTCATTTTAGTTCCAAAGAAGATAATTCACTATACCATAAAATTAACTATCATTTAAAAATAATAATTCCTTCAAAATATTCCACGAGCTATTATTAATCATTGGTACAATCATTTTCTTTTAGAGGTCAAATATATATTTTGGTTCATAACAACTAAAGGCGATCAAAAATAAAGATAAAGGAGGAAAAGACGGTAAATAGTACGATCATGTCGCCCGAAAAACGAATGATTGAGAAAAGTTTTACAAGTTGCGCAAGCAGAGTTTTGAGACGTTTAATTACATTGTTGGCAGCGACTGAAAAAAGCTGACTGTGCAAATTTAAATTTTGAAATTGTTAGTGGAACTATTATACATTTTGAAAAGTTTATAAAAGTTTTTCCATAAAATATGAAAAAAATTGAAATTATAGAAATTATAAAAATTGAATAAACAGATTCGATTCAAATGCAACTGGATCAAGAAATTTGCCAACTATTTGCGTTATCCATACGATTGTTTTATTGTATGCAAACAAACTTTTCAGAAAAATCGAGAAAAATTATGTCAATTCACCTCTCACTAGATAATTAGATGATTAAAAAAAAAATCCTTAATTTTGAGATGAAAAATTTTATTGCAAGTGGTAATATTAAAGAATTAGCAAGAAATCTGACTTTCATGGCAATATAAAGATAGAAACTATAGAAAAGAATATAAAATAGAATGAATATAAAATAAAATCTACAAAAGGATTTCAGAGCTGACCTGCCTGAAATATACGGAAATCGCAAAGATATTCGCCGATAAAAAAATTTTAATTGACAGGAAAATACTCTGAAGAATAATAATTTAAGAGGTTCTAACCAAATTCTTCCTTAATATCCTCTCGTACTAGTGGAAAATTCACCTTGAAAATTTTATAATTATTCTTAAGAACAAATAAACCATTTTATTGCATATGAATACTGAAATTAATGGAGAGCCAAGTGAAGAATCTCCTTATGAAATCATTATCAATTAGAAAAATCAAAAAATCTTGCTTGTTTATGCAAATGGAACAAAGAAAAAATTCAAATCGCTTGAAATTGCAGTAAATAACGAGCAAAATGACATGGATAGGATGAAAGCAAGAAAATGGAATAAAAGCAAGTGTATGGATCAGAAAATTCAGTTCAAAATTAAAGTATCAATCAAGATTCAGTGAAATTCAGTTGTCTATGCTTTTATCATCGACGTGCTAACAAACTCACTAACTTACCAACAAATTTTAAGTAGAGAATTCTTTAAATAGAATTTTTTCGAAAACGGGAACAATAATGCATAAATTATAATGAAGGCTGGTCGAGAAATAATCTCATATAATTTTTCGCAAAAATGGAAAGGATATAAAAATTTCTGTCAAAATTAAGAAAATTCCTGTATACAATATACCTATTTTTTTGACTTTAAACTTTTTATTTTCTTGTCAAATTTTAAAAATTGATATAAGTTTTTGATTTTATTATTCTGCATTGGAAAAAGAATTGTATCGGGCAATATCAGGTGACACGTGAATTTTATGTCATTTTTTCAAGAAAAGATTTAATGAGATTTCTAATAGATGAGATCCTTCTGTATTCGATGAAAAATATATTCCCTTTTTAGAATATGAAAGATTTTTTTGACGAAAGAAAATGTTGTTAAGAGAATTTTTTGCTTGGAGTTCAAACATTATGCTGCGGACTATATTCCTTAGTGCTTATAAACATTAAAATAAAAATAAAATCTAAATGATGCAAGGAGCTCTTTTGTGTCGGTCCTAAATGATGAATGGCTTTCAGGCTAATAGTCAGTTTAGCTAATCATATCAGAAGTGGTCAATTCTCTAGAAAGAAACTATGGCGAGAATGTTCCTATAGAACGCCCATTGAACATCACTGGTACTGCACCTAATGCATACTGAAGAGGTGCACCATAATTATTTTGTATTAAATCACTGAAAGCATTTTCAGTTTTCTTCAATGATTTTCTTTATTGATTTGTTAAATGAAAATTAAATGAAATTAAATTAAATGAAAATTAAAGACTTTTAGCATGATTTGATTTTTTTATGATGGCAGTTATGCCATTTTTCATTGCTGAATGACAACTGAGATGATCGCCCAAACCAATAGCTCCCAAACTTTTCTCCCTCTTATTGAAAATTGGTCCTAAAGTATTTTTTCAAATGGATCATACGGATCTGTCGATATTTACTTTGCTAGAGATTAAGAAATTTTCATAATATATCATTTCTAATCCTTTCTTCATTACTAGTTTTCTAGGGCTTATAAGCTTAGACGATTGAAATAACCAAATACTATCGCAAAAAAGCTACAGTGCTCTTGATAAACTTTGTAAATCTGAAGCAATATTATGATATCAGATTGTCTCCAGCTTTATATATTATGCCAGATATAGACAACTTATTTCACTAGTGATCTCAGTGGCACAGATAAAAAGTACGGAATTTTTCAGTGCACTATAAAGAAAAATAAAAATAAGGGTAAAAAAAATACAGCCAACGATTTAATATTTGCCCAGCTGTCAAATTAGTGCCTTATATATTCATAAGAAAGATGACCTATAAATAAGAAGCTTTCAAAAAAATAACACGATTTGACTAATGTATTCGGATTGATAAGAGAATCGTCGGATTATTGTTAATTATTGTTTAATCGTTAGATTCGATTTTATCGAGATCTGTATCTTTCACAATATTTATTCGAATGGGTCCATAAAAATTCAGTGCAAAAGGTTTTAATTTATGGAAGAATAAAAAATCTCAACTTTTATTTTTCCATTTTAATCAGAAATAAAATAAATTACTCGGAAAAACCATGTCCGAATGTAGTTATAATGATAACAAATGGTTCATATAATATTTCAAGCAATTAGAGATCGGAAACGAGTTCTTGAAATTGCTGAGCAACAAAATCTTGTTCATAGGAAAATTATTCACAAATTGATATCAATTGATATACGCCAATAGATTTTAAGTAATTTGTCAGCAATCAGCAACTATCAACACGAAACTACAAGCAGATTTTTTTAAGGTTTTGAAAAATTAACACAAATTGATCGATACTAAATCAATTTTGAGGACTTTAATTTTTCTTCTAAAAACTTAGATGAATCACTTAGATGTATCCATCTAAGTTAGAGGCTTTCATCAAAAGTCGGTTCCCAACACCACCTGGCTCCACTTAATGGGCGTATATATTCTCCCGTTAGTAATCAACTAGTAAACTACAGCAACATACTACTATCATTATGGCCTCGTTGATTTATTTTTCCTTAAGTTGTTGCATGATGCAAAAAATACATGGTCTTTTTCTAAAACTTCCGACAAAATATGAAATTAAAAATAATAAACAGTCATATTATCTTTAATGAAGAAAAGCTGATGAAACTTGAGAAGCGAAAACTTGAGAAATACTTAGCAAATGCCGTATAAAACTTTCTATATAAACTAACTTGATTTTTCTTATATGGTGAATATTCCACCTAAAATCCGGGATTAAGTTAGATAAATTTATAACTCACAAAAAACTCGCTTAATTAGCGCAAATTTTTTTTCGAAAAAAGTTTAAAAGAAATTTGTCAAATTAAAGTTTGAGAAAATGATTTTCTTAATAATGGGTGTAAAAAAAAACGAATACGATAGGCTTGCTTTCGAATATTTGTATTACTGATTTTTCGGAATGTTAAGATCATGAACGAAGATATTATTAATATAACTGCAATATTTACAGAAAAAATATGTGCGATCCTATCAAGGAAAAAAAATTTATTGATGCACGAATGATAATCAACGGGAACAATAAGTGGCTAATTGTGAGGTTTTTTCGAAGGTAATTCGGAAAGTCGTTTTCTTATTTTCCGGAATCGCTTAACTTCATCCTACTTATTGATTTGGTCGATTTTCCGAGAACAACGTCCTGTTATTAGAAATCTTTCTTTACAAAGAGCTAGAATTAACGACTATTCAAACGAATTGTTATGGCACCATCTGTAAGTCGGTGGGACCAATTATATAAGCGGTGAATCCAAACATAATGCAAGCATTAGGAAAGATCTTAAATTATTCATTTGATCTTAAATTATTTCAGTAAAAGATTTAAACGTTGGTAAAAATGTTTCATAGATATATGTATGATTTTTTAAATTCATTTTTAATATAGCACAGCTTATTTCCTTCATCATCACCTCTTAATAGCCTTCTAATAATAATATTAACTCATTTTCGTCGGTTTGGCTGGCTTTACTGGTTAGATGAGATTATCACTTACATGGGTGAAGTTCGATACCTCTGGGAACTTTTTTGAATACTTATGAAAAAAATATTTGAAGAAATAACCTCGGTATTATGTTACAATAATTGACGCTCATTGATATTTTCTGCTTAACATTCATCAGCATTAATAAAATTAAATTAAAATTAGATTCATTAAACTAGATAGAAAAGCATTCATTCTTAGGAGTCTTTTTTCTTAATTCAAGATCTGGCCCTACCAATTATCTTTAATTTTCCTTATATTTCTGTTAAATTTGAACGTTAAATTTATGAATTTATTATATGAATGTTAAATTTTAATAACCTGTTAAGATGTTCTTTCTGATCGTGAATATGCGAAGAATTTCTGAAAATTTAACTTATTTTAGGAAAGTTGAAAGCTGGTAAATCATGAAAATGTAAATCGCTAAATGAATTCTCTAGATGAATGGAATTACGATGATAAAAAAAAGAAATAGTTGAAATATGCTTAGTATTTCACTATTGAAATAGTAGTTTTTACGAAAAAAGAAGAAATTTAGCATGTTTGCTTCAAAAAATTTAGAAAATTTACATTCGATAATTTGCAAAAGAATTCAAATGCAAACATATAAATGAGGTAAAATTGATCTAATGTGCTCGCCATTTTCTATTTTTGTACGCTCTGATGAATGTTGACATTCAACGATCCATTTATGTTATTACCCTTGGATGTTTTTGCTAAAATAAACATTTATACTAGAAATTAGCCAAAAATATCCCTGAAATTTATGTAATTTAATTGAATTTATATTCCAGATTCATACATATCTGTCTGGATTTGTATTGTATTCATAGAATTTAAAAATTTTATGGAAAACAGAAGGAAATTTTTAAATGGGCCTCTTTTATTTTTGTTTTATTTCTTTTATTTAAGTCTTTTACCATCAAACTTTTTTTCGCCCACTGTCTTAAATAATTGGCTGCTATAGGGTTGAAACTCTTTAACTTAATGTATTCTATAAAGAACCGGTTTAACTCACTTCTAAGCATTTGAAATGCAGGACATACCCCTATATTTTTTCTAAGAATTTTTTTCGTTTAATTACCTTTGAAAAGCAGATTTCAATACTTTGACAATAAGCAGATTTCATAGAGTTGAGATATATGCGAAAATTCAAACATCTTCTTCAGTATGCCAAATGGCTTATAAGAGGTGAAATGAAAAATAATGCAGTAAAAAATTTGAAGAAAAAATAAATTTTTTAATGTAATGAAGTATGTGACGAAATACAATTAAGCAATAATTAAGTATTTATCTGATTTCGAGCAGTAATAATGAATAAAAAACAGACGGGTATTGTACTATGAATCGGATGAAATAACTATTTATTATCGGCAAATTCGTATAACTGATAAAATCACCGATAGGCCTCGAAATATTATTTTATGGTAACAATCTTTAATTCATATATGCTTCATCCAATATTATTTGCGTGGATATTGAGCATTTAGAAATCAACGAAAAAACTCCATTTCATTCATGCACTGAACCAGCCTTCTGCTTGACTAAGCACATTGGTTCTTTTTGCATTTCTGAATCTTTTTTTGGAATTATGGGAGTTTCATCATATTTTTTGCTGTTAAGCGCCTCATTTTCACTGAAATCTTTTTATATGAAGAAAGCTGACAATATGTAAAGCATAGTCGGTATAGTATTAGACAATATTGAGAATTATTCTGCCAAATTAACTTTTTTGTGTTCCATTAGTAAAGTATAGAATAATAGGCAAACCTTGTCGAATTATTTCTATGCATTCTGTCATAATGAATGAGGAGGCATTTTCTTGATGTGCAACAAAATTTGCATTCCACACAGTTTAGTCTTTTTTTGAACATAACTGCATTATGTTTGAATAATTGGTGTTGATTTAAATTGTTTGAAGTCTGCCCTCTTAAATTTCAGTTAAATAAATTACGCTATATTGCCTCAGAAAAACTGAAATATTTTCAATTAGAGCATAACGAATGAACTTAAATAGCAATAATAAAAATTATAATAAATTTCTGGCTACGCCCTTCCACTAGCTATTAGTACGGTTAGAAATTTTTACCAGAGAGTTATTTGGAGAGCCGGAGCACAGGTAGACCAGTATACCGACTATATTTTCCACTTTCGTAAGATTTTTATTTTCCCACCAGCTTACCTGTCGAAGATAGAATGCAAATCCTGATATTCAAGACGATAATGTTAGTAAAAATCATTCCATTCGGCTACCTTAACCCACTATGAGAGGTAACTTCAGTTTTATTATGATAAACGAATTCTTGCTGTTTCTTAGAAACTGTAGTGGTTTATTGATTATTGAATACGAAAGTCCCAACTAGCCTGTAACTGCAATGTTCACATTTGTGAAATTCCGTGCAAGATGTTAAATGCTCATAAATCTTCGATTGCTGGATTTTTCGTTGAGATTCTTTGCTTCTTGAATCGTCTGATATCTTATATTGTTGGAATGAACGCGCTTCGTTGGGTATGTGACGATTGATATGCTTTTCTAACATAGCTGGACTTTTTGAAACATGGCGACAAAATGGACATTTTCGAGATCCTGAAATATCTATTGATTTCTAAGGCATACACAGAACACAGCTTTTTATTCAAACCGAATATTATTTTTGTTATCTTAACCGAATATTATTTCAATGTTTGGTACTTTGATTTCAAAGCATTTCTTTATGAATGACGTACACAAAAGCGCTATCATATTTTATATAGTTTTGTTTTTGCGATTATTATTAATGGTTAACTTAAGTTTCATTTTATGGACAGATAAGTTTGAACAGATAGGTTTATCGTTGCATTTACTATTTATGGTGGGTCGTACTATGATATATGATACATGATATATAGGATTTCTACCAGGAATTACTCGACAAGACGGAAAGCCATTTTCAACAACGCTTTTTCAACAACGCTTTTCAATAAAAAGCGCTTATCCCTCATAGAGCTGAAGTCTGATGTTCGATATAGAATACGCAAACAAGGTCAATAAAATGGGCTAACCTAAATCAATAGTTTCTGGGAGAGGAATATGGTGCCTGTAGTATTTGTGGAAATGAATATAGCGTGCTTCGCGTGTCGTGAATTGGCATCCACTCTCGTCGCATCTGATCGGAGGGTTACGATGGTATATCGTAACATGATAGGATACCGAATTGTATCTGCCATAAATCTTGTGGCAAACTGTGCATCTAAATCCATTCAATACACGTTCAATATATTTTTTATTTCGACACCATCCTGCAAATATTTTTCTAAATAGTAGCGAAGATGTGTGCAAAATTAATCACGACGATTATGATGATTAATTATGGCGATCGTGTATAATCTATATTCCATAAAGAAACTGCTTCAGTGAAGTTGCTTTACGTTATCTCTAACTCGTTTTTAACAATCAAATCGAATTGTCACCAGCCTCGGCACGCTTACCTTCTTTATCACTTGATGGAACAATAACACCACTTAAGTTGGATGCTAACGCAGCATTGGTGGAATCATTGCTTGTAGTAGGTGTTTCTCTGGAAACAAAGCATTCCGTAATTTACAATTATTGATCAAATTTAAAAAGTCCAGCAAAACGCGAAAATTTCTGGATAAGTCATCGTTTTTATTCCCAACGCAACTCATTCAGGCCTTATCTCCTATCATTTAAAACTTCCTATTAATTTCTACGAACAGCCAGTAGAACTAGCGTACTAGAAATATTGAGCGCTAACAATTTATTCACTTATTTTTCATATTATTTGATATTTGATGTATGCTTATATTATTTATAGAGATCAAATGTCCAAGTAAAGCAAAGCTATGTGCATTTAAAGCTATTTAAACAAGTTTTCAGAAAAGTTTTTCGAAAGTTTTTCATAATAAAAATTTTTGCAAAAACAGAATATGATCGAAACTTAAAATAAACACAAAAAATATAGCTTACAGTCTGTTCTATTGCAGTTTTATTCAATAATCACTATAGTTTGGCCATAGTGATCTTAACGTAATGCTTTTTTATCATAAAACTTACATAGGTTGCGGCGCACCATCATTTGAATTTATATTCACATTATTGTGGGCTTTATAAGTATGTGTCAAACTTTCCCGAATCGCAATCGAATTTAGATCTCTGTCGTAAAGAATGCTAGGCGTTCTAGGCATGGAGCAATAAAAACTTGTGGGCTGTGGCAAAATGGCAGCTGAAAACTTTTTTTATCCAGACCGATATTTCATAAAAGTTGAAATCCAAAAATATTTTTATTTAAAAAAAGCTTTTATGCTGATTCCAAAAAAATCAGCCACTGTAACGAAGCCCATTATTTTCTATTCATTTGTTTTAAAGTGAATTGAAATGTTTTTAATTTCCTGTTTGTGAAACTTTATGACCTTGCATAAATTTAATAAAAATATTTTTGATAAATTTTTAAGAATAATTTCAGTAATGAATGGAAAAAAGTTACTGTTTGTATGCAATGCTCGGATTGCTAATAACATATTCAGATCTAATAAAAATTGAGTTCCGAAATATGGAAGTGATAATACATTGCAATTCAGAGACATTTTTGATGATCTTGGTTCCAGAGTGTTTTGAGTTATTAGTGTTGATAAATATATTTCCAGAGTAGTAATTTGGCAAAGCTGAGCAATTTTAAGTACCTAAAAATTTATTTTTCAAAGGGAATAAAAAAATACTCAATTTTTCATTAGTTTTTTACCTTCCTCTAAATGGCTCTCGCAAAATACTCTCGACTCTTTTGAAGAATTAAATAAACTAAATGCTAAATGAAATGATGCATGGGTTTTATAAAAAAAATAGAATTGAATGAATACCATACTTGCACTGGTTTTAGCGAGTTTAATACCAGATCTCCAGTATACAAATAATGAAGAATAGATTTGAAAGCCGGGATGGCATCAGGAACTTTACCGAAATTTAGTTCAACAGTTGGGATTGGTGACATGATGGCAATATTTTCCAACATTGATAGATTAATGAGATTCCTTAGGTAAGGTGATGAAGCCATTAGTATGAAACTATGTGCAAAGATATTTTCTTCTGTAATATTTTGATTTATAAAATTTATCATTAAATTCTTTTACCCTAAACATCATAAATATCATAATTCGATGAATATAATTTGAAAGTTCTTGGTCGTGACTTCTTCTTTATCTCTTTAAAGAAATGGATGAAAATAATAGAAATTTTCAACTTTCAAATTTAAATTTTTGTATAAACCGTTCGATCAATTTCTTTCGTAAAAAGCTCTAATATTTATCCAGAAAAATTTCTGAATATCTCTGAATAAATTTTGTGCGAAAACAAATACAAATAATTAAACTGAAATATTAACCTTTCTTAATTCCTGTAGCGATATCGGTTGTTAGAAGCTTTATACAAATATCGCTTGCAAGGGTATCTTTTGGGAAATCATGCGTACTGTCTCGATTATTGCTATTATGTCCCACATTTTCTGTTACATTAGCCATTCCGTAATATATCTATATCTATATAGAGAGTGACACAAAATACAAATACAAAATATAGAGAGAAACACAAAATACGAATACAAAATATAGATAAATACAAATTGCAGATAAATTGTGCTCCAAAGGAAAACAGGAAGGCTGCTGATGTAAGGACCAGGGAACTCCTCATAATACACGGAAATTTCCATCTCAACTCCAACATCCAAAGACTATATATGAGCCGGAAAGAAGACGAATGGAATTTGGTAAGTGTGAAAGCCACTATCTTGAATGAAAATCGAAGTATTCAGAAATATATCAACAAGATGGCACCAAATGATGTTGATAGAATGTCTGAAGCATGTATAGACGCTGGAAAATGATCAAGCAGAGAAAATACTCTGGCAAAGCAAGGCTCTCCGTGGATTGCACCATTGATAGATCGGGAGTTAACTATGAAATCATACCTAATATAATAAATCCTAATATATGTGGTTAGAGAAAGCCGACTAAAAGGCAAAGGCAAAGGGAGATATTGAATATAGCAAAACAGGATCAAGCATTAAGCACTAAATCCGCCGAAACAACAGTATACCGTACTAGACAGGACTCTAGACGCAGACTATGCAAAAACGCCTCAGAAACGTTCCAACGCATAGCATAGGATATCAAATGTAAAAACATATATATTGAATATAACATATATTAGAAGGTATAACCAAGTAGTTGGTATCATCTACAGAAATATCTGCTCGATATATGGCTTAAATGCTCCTAAGAGATTAAATGTGAGATGATCCAGAAAAATGGAAATCAGTGCTGGTTATAGAGATACCAATACTAAGTAACAAGAGTTAGGAAGAAGAAATATAAAAAGTTAGGGAAATACTTAAACTTGAAAGAGGAACTAGAGAAGATGTGGAAAATAAAGACCAAAATATTTCCAGTAACAATAGGAGCACTTGGAATCGTATCCCTAAACTAGTAAAATAGCTTCAGGAGATTCCAGGAACAGCATTTAAGCCATATATCTAGACCTCTATCCAGAAGAGCATACTACTAGGAATGGCTAAGATACTACGCAGAATATTCAATATTCAAGCTTTTAGACCTCTGGTGGAGGATCCGAGATTGACGATGACCATGTCCACCCACAAGGGATGAAAAAAGTTTGTATATGGCTTATAGTAATATAGAGTAACTGAATATTTTGCAGACAATAATGGCCAAAAAAAGAATTACAAAAGATATGACATGGTAAAAAATAAGAAATTTTTAAAAAATGATAATAAAGTAATGAGAATTCGAAATAAAAAACTGAAAAGTTAATGAAGTAAATAGAATAAGTTTAAAAAAGTTATAAATTAAAAAATTTGTTAGTTTTTTAGGAAAAGAAATAAGAAAAATTAAAAAATTAATTTATCAAAAATAGTTTTAAAATTTTTCAGCAAAATCTCTAGGGTGGCACAACTTATTTTTTCTTTGAGCCACACAGAAGGATCAAAAAAGCTTCAAAATTTTTCTTATCGTATGTCCATATCAGTGCCAGTTAAACGAGCAAATGCAACCCAAATGTGAAATTAAGATGGATAAACAAAATGTTAAAGTCATGCCATGTTAAAAGTTAGAACTTGTAACTCAATTAAACAAAGTGGAAGCTTGTAAAATAAACCTTATTTAGCACTTGAATAGCTTGTAAAATAAACCTTATTTAGCACTAGATCGACGCTTAAACAGGATCGAAAAAATGCTTTTATCACGCTATAATCACCACCAAATCATAGAAGAGATCACCCAGGTTTTCATCTTCGTTTTTTTAAATATTTTTGATAAATTGCTGATGAAAAATTTTGTTACCAAAAGTTAGCTTTAAAAAATTATTGAATCTTTCAATTATTGATAAAAATATTTTTTATAATAAGCGAACTCCTCCGAATTGCCATATAATTGCCTTTTGAAACAAACATTATTCTACAGAGTATGAGAGTGCAAACCATTTTATTATAACATATTATGACGTTTTAAAGTTGAAATTGTTGGTAAATATATTTTATAAATATATTTGCGTTCATAATTTCTGGTTGCAATGGCTTTTAGTAAGGTGGGAAATTTTTGCCATTTGGAAAAAATATAGGGCCAAGCAAACCATATTTTTCAGTCCGAGCGACAAGCTCATTACTTATATTTCGTAACTTTTTTTTGAATACTTCTGAATTGAATATTTTGAAAAAAACAATTACACTGCATTACAAGAGCACATTGTTCATTTTAGATTCGTTTGATTTTCCATAGTAGACAATTTTCTTTCTATGATCTGAGGCGAGGCGCAATGCTACTTATGAAATTAATGGTTTCAATTTAAAGTTTTATATTTTCTTGTGGCATGAAGTTCTATTGAAAACAACTATTTAAATTCCTGGCTTTGTTGTTTTCGTAACATTCAGGACAGGTTTTTCTAGGAATTGAGATTTTTGTTTTTCATGAAAATTTTGAATGTCTTTGATCTAACTATTACAGCCTAGAAAATGCAAGCGCGCTGGATGGATAGTAAAATTAAAAATGCCAATTAATAGTTAAAATTTATAATTGATTTATACAACTTAATCATTCAATTAGCTTATAGCAGGATAATTAAATGGACAGATTATCGCGTTGTGAGGGCGAATCTAATTTCAATCTAATCACTGACATTTCAAGAGTAAATCTACCATTTAAAAATCTGGATGGTGCAATTGATTAGCCTGCACTTCTATTGTTAAAGGACTACCTGGTAAAAGTTTATAATAGCCAATGAAGCCAGCCTAACCGGAAACAGATGGTGCTAACCACATCTTACTTACATATGTTTTGACAGGACTGGGACATCTAGAAGTTCTTAGAAAAAAATTTAGAAATTTTGCATAAGATAATTTAGTTAATTTAGATAATTTAATTTAGTCATTTCAATATGGTTCCAGTTCATAAATAAAATTGGATTGAATATTTATCAGTTCGCTATTGAATCCACTGAACTAAACTTTAAAAAAAAAAAGCAAATCAAAAATTTATTTAATTGGAATAAAAAAATTAAATGAAATTTCGCTTAAGGCA